TATATATATATATATATATATATATATATATTAATTCTTACCTTCCTGCTCTAGCAGTCCTTCCTGCGCGGTGTATATACAGCCTAGGAGATGCAGGGAAATCATAATTAATAACAAGAGGTAAATTAAATAAATCTAATCCTCTTGCTGCTACATCTGTTACTAATAAATAATTAACTTTTCCTGTACACACACATAAACCCTAAACCCTAATAAACCCTAATAAACCCTAATAAACCCTAAATTAACCCTAAACCCTAGATTGTAGTCCCCCCTCCCCCCACCCAATAAACCCTATACAATTATTGCAATTAAACATAGTATTAATTTATTAATTAAAAAAAAAAAAAAAAATTTTAATAAATCCAAATTAGGGTTTAGGGTTTAGGGTTTAGGGTTTACGTTTTTTGAATGCAGCTAGCTGAGAATTTCGATCTTTTTGGTCCATCGCGCCATAAATAATTGCAGTTTGTATTTTTAGGGTTTGGCGAAGAATTATATTCAATAATTCTCCTTGGTGACGAGTACTCACAAATATTAATGCTTGGTTAGGACCCTATGATGACCCACAAACCCTAAACCCTAATAAACCCTAATAAACCCTAATAAACCCTAATAAACCCTAATAAACCTTAATAAACACTAATAAACACTAATAAACACTAATATGCAAACCCTAAACCTTTATATGCACACACGACAAATTATACCATATTATATTAACGATAAAATATAAACCCTAATACATAAAACCCTAAACCCTAAACCCTAAACCCTAGAACACCAAACCCTAAACCCTATTATTATTACAAAGAGAATATAAAGAATAAACAAAATAAATAAATAAAATAAATAAATAAATAAATAAAATAAATAAATAAATAAAATAAATAAATAAATATAAATAAATAAATAAATAAATATACTTACCCTAGATAAAGGTTGTAATAAGGAGAGGAGAGTCGGTATTTTTTCTGTATATCTAGTGAATAAGAAGAATATTTTTAATTGTTTATTTAATTTATTTTCTTTATTTAATTGAATAAAAAGGGGATTAATTAGATTAAAAGAAGAAAAAGAAATTAATTCTTTAGGTAATGTAGCAGAAACAAGAATAGTTTGTTTATTTATAGGAAGAAAAGAGGAAAAAATAATATTTAATTGGGGCCCCCATCCCTGCTCAATCATCTTATCTGCTTCGTCTATAACTGCAGCAGAAGCAGCAGTTAGCTGCAGCAGCTGCTGCTGCAGCAGCTGCAGCAGTCTACCAGGTGTAGATATAAGTATATCGGGGTTAGAGGCTAGACTATCAAATTGGGTGGAGTAAGCAACCCCACCAAGTAACACACTTGCATGCAGAGGGAATTTATTTAATAATTTTTTTATTATATAATATATTTGTTGTACTAATTCTCTTGTTGGTGCTAATATTAATAATCTTATACCTACAATAGTTGAATGCTGCTGCAGCAACTGCAGCAAAGGCAGCAAATATGCTGCTGTCTTACCACTACCTGTTCTTGATAATATTATTGCATCTCTTTGCTGCAGCAGCAAAGGTATTGCTGCTCTCTGTACAGGTGTTGGTTGTCTAAACCCTAATTCTTTATGTGCTGCTGCTGTTGCTGCTGCTGTTAACCCTAATGCAGCAAAAGGGGAACAACGACCTTTCTTATTTAATGAATTATACCCTAATAAACCCTTCTCCTCCTCTCTTCCTTCCTCATCATATAAACCCTCCATTGATACCACCATCTCTAAACCCTAAACCCTAAACCCTAAACCCTAGTAGAGAAAAAAATCCTTTTATTAATATATACCAACAACACAATATCCAAACAATCTAACCCTATAAACCCTAAACCCTAAACCCTTAACACCAATAACAATTTATATACTCTTATATAATCTATATATTAACCCTTTAACTTCAATTTATTCTCATCAATTAGGGTTTAGGGTTTAGGGTTTATAGGGTTCAGGGGGTAGATAAAAGGGCGGACCCGCAGCCGCCGCAGGGGCCCCACGTAAACCCTTTTTTTACGGCAAAAAAAAGATAAATAAACAAGAAAAGAAGAAAAATAAATATATATAAATAATAATAAAACAATTAAAAGGAGAAAAAGGAAAGAAATAAACACCCCTTCTTCCTTGTGGGGATTTATCTATACCTCGATAGTTATAGAGGGGGCCCCAACCACTGGGCCCCAGTATAGGGTACCAGCTAGGGTTTAGGGTTTAGGGTTTAGGGTTTAGGGTTTCTTTATATTTTCTTTTTTTTCTTTTCTAACAAAGGGAGACTTATAATTACCTTCTTATTAACGAGTCCTGCTGCTGCTGCTGCTGCTGCTGCTGGACACTCACTGAGCTGCTATAGTAACAGTAGATACCAGCAGCAGCAACTGCAGCAGCAACAATAGCAGCAGCAGCAGCTGCTGCTGCTGCTGCTTCTCTACAGATACATACACTCAAATTTACCTGTACATACACCCCAAAGGGACACACAAGGTTCTTATACACACCGAAGACACCAGGAATACACAGACCACCACCACCAGTTGCTGCTGCTGCTGCTACTACTACTACTACTACTAGCTGCTGCTGCTGCTTCTAGCTGCTGCTGCTGCTGAGGCAACAGCAGCAACAGCAGGAGCTAGCAATGTAAATCCGTAGATTCCTTTTAGCCACTGATCTCCATGACGAAGAGGCAGCAGCAACAGCAGCAGGAACAGCAGCAGCAACTACAGCAGGAGCAGCAGAAGCAGCAGCAACAGCAGCATGTACAGCAGCAGCAACACGTGAGCGTTGAGATCTGCATTAGGCGTCTCCCCTTTCCTTTCTTTTTCGTGCTGCTGTTGCTGTTGCTGCTGCAGCTGGCCCAGCTGCAGCAGCAGCAGCAGCAGCAACCACGACAGGAGCAGCAGCACAAGGTGGAAGGCTGCTGCAGCTTGTTTGCTGCTGCAGCAGCCCTATCGCCTATCGTGAGGAGGTGTCTCAATAGAGATGCAGCAAGATCTGCTGCTGCTACTGCAGCAGCAGCAGCAGGTGCAACAGCAGCAGCAGGTGCAGCAGCAGCAGCAGCAACACCTTCCTTCCTGCTGCCCCGCTGCGTCTCTTTCTTCCCATTAGCAACTTATAGGCAAAACACAACAAATATAAAAAGGTGGACATACACCGCAGATACACCAAGGCAGCAGCGACGAACAGCAGCAACAGCAACAGCAACAGCAGCAGCAACTGCTGCTGCCGCTGCTGCTGCTGCTGCTGCTACTGATAGTGGCGGCACACCTGCGGAGCATCCCGCTAGCAGCAGCACTCCCACCCGGAAGAGAGGCAGCAGCAAAGGTAGGGGCAGAAGCAGCAGTAACAGCAGCAGCAACAGTAGCAGCAGCAGCAGCAGCAGCAGCACGAACGCCAGCAGAAACGACAAGACTTGCTCAGCAAATCTCATCTCTACTAAGAGCAGCAGCAGCAGCAGCAACCGCAGCAGCAGGAGCACCACTACCACCACCAGCACTAGCAGCACTAACAGCACTAGCAGCACTAGCACCAGCATTAGCAGCAGCAACCGCAGCAGCAGCAGCAGCAGCAGCAGCAGCAGCAACTGGATTCGTTGCAGCAGCATAGCTGAATTAGCGTTAACTCCCTTACGTGCCCTTCATGGTATATCTATAACAAGAGAGTTGCTGCTGCAGCAGCAAACAGGCTGCAGCAGCTGCTTGGATCTGCTGCTGCACTTCCTTCCTATTAAATATCTTACTATTAATACTGTTACTAGCACTAAAGATCTGCATGCAGCAGCAGAAGCAGCAGCAGCAGCAGCAGCAGCAGCGAGAACTGCAGCAGCAGATAAAGAGTATAGACACTTAGAGCAGCAGCAGCAGCAGCAGCAGCAGCAGCAGCAGCAAAGTCGTCTTAAGGCGGTGGGGTTGTCTGCTGCTGATGTTGCTGATGAGGGTTTGCTGCTGCAACAGGAGCAGCAGCAGCAGCAGCAGCAGCAAACAGACACGCCCCTCCACCTGCAGGCGGGACCTGTCTCCTTCGTTGGCTGCTTAGAGCGGGTACAACCAGCACAACACGAGGGTTTAGGGTTTAGGGTTTAGGGTTTAGGCTTTAGCCTTAAGGGTGTTGCGTAACAGGTTCCTCTATGGGTTGTAGGCAGCTCGTACTCTTTACGTTATCTCCTTTAGGGTTTAGGGTTTAGTGTTTAGGGTTTAGGGTTTAGGGTTTAGTGTTTAGGGTTTAGGGTTTAGGGTTTAGGGTTTAGGGTTTAGGGTTTGTGTGTACAGATATCTCATTGCCGCATGCGTGGATCTTCTCGTCTTATGTTGTCCACCGCCAAAGTGCGGGGTCTGCATGACTCTCAACGTACAGCAGCAGCAGACAGCAGCAGCAGTAGCAGCAGCAGCAAACGCAGCAGCAAGCGCAGCAGCAGCAGCAGCAGCAGCAGCAGCAGCAGCAAGGATGATACTGCATTAAGGGTTGAATGGATAGGAAAATTTCATCAATTGCTGCACCTAAGAGCAGGACAAATCGTCACCGTTACAGGAAAGGTAATTTGCTGCTGCTGCTGCTGCTGCTGCTGCTGTTGCTGTTGCTGCAGCTGATGAGAATCTGCTGCTGCTGCTGTTGCTGCTGCTATGTGATGATCGCGAGAAGGACCAGTAGAGTCGGCACAGCAGCTGAGGTAACAGCAGCAATAGCAGCAGCAACAGGTGCAGCAGCAGCAGCAGCTAGTTGTGCGTCTTGAATATGTTGCTGCTGCTGC